TATTTCTATTGCTGACCTATACCTGCTAATCAGGTCTTCACTCCTACGTCTGCCAACATCGTTGCCTCCAGCACTGAGACAGATAATAGGATTACTCCCATTACCTCTCATGATGTCATCCAGACGGCTAACAATATCTTCCATCCCAGCCCCAGGAAAGCAAACTCTCTGTCTCCTACTCCTGTCCTTCAAGCAGAACGCCCTATCCATATACCTTACTTGGCTATCCCCAACAACAACAATATTCGTACCTTCCTTGGTGTCATTCGTCGTGACGTTCCCAGTAGTCGACTCACATTCGTCGGGTAGCACTGAGAATGTATTAGATGTTTCCACAACAGTTTCCTAATCCTGATCCCATTTATTCCTCTCCATTGAAACTCTCCCACCCCCTTCAGCTTTGTTTCACTTAAAGCCAGGTCATTCAGTTTCTTCTCATTCATAACATCCACAATCATCTCTTTCTTATCATTTGCACAACATCCACGCACATTCAGACTTCCCACTTTGACAATTTTCTTCTTCTTATTCTTTTTAGTAATCTTTACAGGAAAAGGGGTTACTAGACCATTGTTCCCGGCATTTTAGTTGACTTTTACAATACGCATGGCTTATGGAGGAAAGATTCTTATTCCACTTCCCCATGGATATAAAAGGAAAAGTAATAAGACCAAGAACTATTAAGATAAAATCAAAGAAAACTCAGATGAGTGTGTATAAATAAACGTGTACATGTATGTGTAGTGTGACCTAAGTGTAAGTAGAAGTAGCAAGACATGCCTGTAATCTTGCATATTTATGAGACAAACAAAAGACACCAGCAATCCTACCATCATGTAAAACAATTACAGGCTTTCGTTTTACACTCACTTGGCAGGACGGTAGTACCTCCCTGGGTGGTTGCTGTCTACCAACCTACATATTATTATTCTTCTTTCAAGAAACCAGCCGTATCCCACCAAGGCAGGGTGGCCCAGAAAGAAAAACGAAAGTTTCTCTTTTTAAATTTAGTAATATATACAGAGAAGGAGCCACTAGTCTCTTGCTCCCGGCATTTTCGTCACCTTTTATGACACGCATGGCTTATGGAGGAAGAATTCTGTTCCACTTCCCCATGGAGAAAACATATTATTACCATACTATATATATTTTTAAACAATAGCGAACTTTTTACCAGGTCTCTCACCGTAATATTTATTTATAGAACACTAGACTTTTACCACACCATAGTTTTTTTTACAGAATACTAGACATTTTATCACACCAAAGTGTTTTTTTGTAGAGCACTAGATGTTTTACCACACTATAGTTTTTTTTACAGAACATTAGATATTTTACCATCATAGATTTTTTTTTTAAAGAACACTAGACATTTTAGCACTCCATATATTTTTATGGAGCACTATACTTTTTACCACCATAAAATTATAGGTAGTAGGTTGGTAGACAGCAACCACCCAGGGGGGGGTACGACCGTCCTGCCAAGTGAGTTTGAAACGAAAGCCTGTAACTGTTTTACATGATGGCAGGATTGCTGGTGTCTTTTGTCTGTCCATAAATATGCAAGATTACAGGTACGTCTTGCTACTTCTACCTACACTTTGGACACACTACACATACATGTACAGGGGCAACTGATATATCGGATCATTATTTAGTTGCAGCTTCAGTTTGAGTAAGAGGTAGATGGGAAAAGAGGAAAATGGCAACAACAAGCAAGAGGGAGGTGAAAGTGTATAAACTAAGGGAGGAGGAAGTTCGGGTGAGATATAAGCAACTATTGGCAGAAAGGTGGGCTGGTGCAAGTATGAGTAGTGGGGGGGTTGAAGAGGGTTGGAATAGTTTTAAAAATGCAGTATTAGAATGTGGGGCAGAAGTTTGTGGTTATAGGAGAGTGGGTGCAGGAGGAATGAGGAGTGATTGGTGGAATGATGAAGTAAAGGGTGTGATAAAAGAGAAAAAGTTAGCTTATGAGAGGTTTTTACAAAGAAGAAGTGTTATAAGAAGAGTAGAGTATATGGAGAGTAAAAGAAAGGTGAAGGGAGTGGTGAGAGTGCAAAAGGAGAGCAGATGATAGAGTGAGAAAGGCACTGTCAAGGAATTTTAATAAAAATAAGAAAAAATTTTGGAGTGAGTTAAACAAGTTAAGAAAGCCTAGAGAACGAATGGGTTTGTCAGTTAAAAACAGAGTAGGGGAGTTAGTAGATGGGGAGATGGAGGTTTTGGGAAGATGGTGAGAATATTTTGAGGAACTTTTAAATGTCGACGAAGAAAGGGAAGTGGTAATTTCATGCACTGAGCAGGGAGGTATACCATCTTTTAGGAGTGAAGAAGAACAGGATGTGAGTGTGGGGGAGGTGTGTGAGGCATTACGTAGAATGAAAGGGGGTAAAGCAGCTGGAACTGATGGGATCATGACAGAAATGTTAAAAGCAGGGGGGTGGGGGATATAGTGTTGGAGTGGTTCGTATTTTTCTTTAATAAATGTATGAAAGAGGGGAAGGTACCTAGGGATTGGCAGAGAGCATGTATAGTCCCTTTATATAAAGGGAATGGGGACAAAAGAGATTGTAAAAATTATAGAGGAATAATTTTACTGAGTATACCAGGAAAAGTGTACGTTAGGGTTATGTAATTGAAAGAATTAGAGGTAAGACAGAATGTAGCATTGCGGATGCGCAAGGAGGTTTCAAAGTGGGTAAGGAATGTGTAGATCAAGTGATTACATTGAAGCATATATGTGAACAGTATTTAGATAAAGGTAGGGAAGTTTTTATTGCATTTATGGATTTAGAAAAGGCATATGATAGAGTGGATAGGGGAGCAATGTGGCAGATGTTGCAAATGTATGGAATAGGTGGTAAGTTACTAAATGCTGTGAAGAGTTTTTATGAAGATAGTGAGGCTCAGGTTAGGGTGTGTAGAAGAGAGGGAGACTACTTCCTGGTAAAAGTAGGTCTTAGACAGGGATGTGTAATGTCACCATGGTTGTTTAATATATTTATAGATGGGGTTGTAAAAGAAGTAAATGCTAGGGTGTTCGGGAGAGGGGTGGGATTAAATTATGAGTAATCAAATACAAAATGGGAATTGACACACTTGCTTTTTGCTGCTGATACTGTGCTTATGGGAGACTCTAAAGAAAAATTGCGAAGGTTAGCGGATGAGTTTGGGAGTATGTGTGTAAAGGTAGAAAGTTGAAAGTGAACATAGAAAAGAGTAATGTGATGAGGGTATCAAATGATTTAGATAAAGAAAAGTTGGATATCAAATTGGGGAGGAGGAGTATGGAAGAAGTGAATGTTTTCAGATACTTGGGAGTTGACATTTTGGTGGATGGATTTATGAAGGATGAGTTTAATCATAGAATTGATGAGGGAAAAAAGGTGAGTGGTGCATTGAGGTATATGTGGAGACAAAAAATGTTATCTATGGAGGCAAAGAAGGGAATGTATGAAAGTATAGTAGTACCAACACTCTTACATGGGTGTGAAGATTGGGTTGTGAATGCAGCAGCAAGGAGGCAGTTGGAGGCAGTGGAGATGTCCTGTCTAAGGGCAATGTGTGGTGTAAATATTATGCAGAAAATTTGGAGTGTGGAAATTAGGAGAAGGTGTGGAGTTAATAAAAGTATTAGTCAGAGGGCTGAAGAGGGGTTGTTTAGGTGGTTTGGTCATTTAGAGAGAATGGATCAAAGTAGAATGACATGGAGAGCATTAAATCTGTAGGGGAAGGAAGGTGAGGTAGGGGTCGTCCTTGAAAAGGTTGGAAGGAAGGGATAAGGGAGGTTTTGTGGGCGAGGGGCTTGGACTTCCAACAGGCGTGCATGAGCGTGTTCGATAGGAGTGAATGGAGATGAATGGCATTTGGGACCTGACGATCTGTTGGAGTGTGAGCAGGGTAATATTTAGTGAAGGGATTCAGGGAAACCGGTTATTTTTATATAGCCGGACTTGAGTCCTGGAAATGGGAAGTACAATGCATGCACTCTAAAGGAGAGGTTTTGGAATATTAGCAGTTTGGAGGGATATGTGTCTCTTTATATGTATATGCTTCTAAACTGTTGTATTCTGAGCACCTCTGCAAAAACATTGATTATGTGTGAGTGAGGTGAAAGTGTTGAATGATGATGAAAGTATTTTTTTGGGGAGGATTTTCTTTCTTTTTGGGTCACCCTGCCTTGGTGGGAGACGGCCAACTTGTTAAAAAAAAAATGTATATATATACTGTAAAGATACAGTTCAATACAAAAAAAAAAAAACAAGAAAAAATGAGTTTTTTTTTTTTAACACACTGGCTGTTTCCCACCAAGGCAGGGTGACCCAAAAAGAAAGAAAAAACTTTCATCATCATTCAATACTTTCACCTCACTCAAACATAATCATTGTCTTTGCAGAGGCACTCAGATACAACAGTTTAGATGTCCCATCAAACTGCCAATATCCTAAAGCCCTCCTTTAAAGTGCAGGCATTATTTTTCCCATTTCCAATACTCAAATCTGGCTAACTGGTTTCTCTGAATCCCTTCACAAAATATTTTTTTTTTTTTTTTTTTTTTATTCACCGGTATTCTCCCGGCCCGGGTCTTTTCCAAGTAGTGGTGACCCGGCCTTGGCTCCCTATCTGGGGAGTGTCTCGAGACTTAAGTCTCCCATGGGAGAAGGTACAAGTACCTCCTCATCTTTGGGACCAAGTGTCCCCAGGCCTAGCCACATTCCCCGCCCTCACGGGGCTCGTAGGGAGAAGCTAGGCCTCTGGTCTGCCATCTACCCCGCCTCAAAGGGGCTCGTGGGGATGGCAGTCTTATGAGCTGCAGATGGTAGCAAGCTCAGGCCTTGTTTTTATACTCACAAAATATTACCCTGCTCACACCCCAATGTGTTAAATAAGAATATGTAATATTATACAGTAGTATTATCATGAAATTCAATCAATAGTGCCTAAAATTTACAAAATTTAAGAACTGTTATTTATTGTTTTTAATAAAAATATTTTTTCAGACTTACACATTCTGTCCTGACCACTACATCTCTGAAGTGGAATGTCGACCAGTGGGAGGAGGGGAGACTGAGCCTTTTGTTATCTGTGACAAGAATGGTGCCAGTTGTGAAAACAATGGTGAGTTTTCCTATGTTTCAAAATTTATATCAGGGATGAGCATTATGCCTTTGATATACCTTTGATGAGTTTTGAGAGTCTCTGCTCATTGGTGAAACTTAATATATGATAAATCTAATGGGAATATGAATGAACATTGAGTTTGTGAGGTGCACAGTGAGAGAAAAGACACTAGAAAATAACTCCAAAAATATTTGAAAAGACTTAAAATGCTAAAAATGGCCACATTGTCTGAAAAAAAGACAAAGCCATATATGGCAGCAGATCATAAAAATATATGAGGAAATAGATAAAGAATATTTCTTTGCACCCTTAATAAGGAGAGCAAGAGAAATTTGCCAGATGTCACTTCAGTTTGTGAAGAATAGATGGCAGGGGACAGCATTTTAATTGGTGAGAAAATCAATACAGTTGAAATGGTGAGTATCTTTATTTAAAGCAGATGAGTCATCTTTACAAAATGTTCATTATGAAATACAGTTCACTTAACCACATATTACATATTTACTGTTCTTTGTTAGGGACAATTCAAGCATTTGATTCAAACATGAAAGTAGAGGTGGCATAGATGTTACCTCAAAGCTTGTTGAAAACTGCCTTCTAAATTCCTCTTTCAAGCCAGCATCTTTGACTGTCAAATGAGGGACTACACTACATGTATATATGTGCATACACAAATAATACTTCACAGTTAGTGATAGACATTTTAATGGATCCAAGAGGAGGAGGAGGAGGTACAGTACTTGAAGGTGTTACAGCCACTAGAAACTTTTGAAAATTATATGACAAACTTAACATGCCACGAGCATAGCTCTGCTTCTGTGCCAGAAAACAGTTACTGCAACATAAATAAGTGTAGTACTCACATCATAAAAGAGTTAATTTTCACTGAAATTTGGGCCTTCTGGAGCATATTTATAGAATATCCATACCTATTACTACAGATCATACTACTATGCTGTACAGTGGTACCCCAAGTTTCAGCCACAATTCACTCCAGAAGACTGTTCAAGTGCCATTACTGAACGAATTTGTTCCCATACGGAATAATGTACATTGGATTAGTCAGTTTCAGACCCACAAAAATACACTTACAAAAGCACTTACAATAATGCACTTACATAATTGTTCGAGTTGGGAGCTATATGAAACTCGGGGTACCACTACATAAATGCTAGATGCATAACTGTTTTGGGATTTTTTCTAAGCTGTCATATCTGAGTGCCTCTGCAAAGACAGTGATTATATATGATGGTGAAAGTGTTCATTGATGATGAAAGTTTTTTTCATTCTCTTTGTTGTTTTTCTTTCTTTTTGGGTCACCCTGCCTCGGTGGGAAATGGCTGACATGTTAAAAAAAAAAAAATGTTTTGGTGTTATGTTTATATTTGTGCTTTGAATGGGTCATGAATATGTGAGGATAGGTGTAGTAATGTGACCGAATTTACATCTAACCATGATGGAACAAACAGATCATAGTGCACAAGATTGACCATAGATCCAAACAGATCTGTGTTCACATGCGTAGTGCTCAAAAAGTAGATCTACTTTTTTTTACATATTTTCAAATATAACAAAAAAAACGTAGATCTAAGTTTTTTTTTACACGTTTTCAAATGTAAAGAAACAAAAAGAAGATCTACGTTTTTTTTTACATACTTTCAAATGTTGAAAAAAACGTAGATCCACATTTGGACAGTTTAAGGGTTAAGTTATGTACTCGCCTTAATTTGGATGTAGCACATTTCCTTTGGCCTTTGATATCCAAAAAAGGTATATATATATATAATTTTTCATTTTTATTTATCATTACTTAACCCTTTGACTGTTTTGGTCGTATATATAAGTCTTACGAGCCACCGTTTTTGACGTATATATACTCACAAATTCTAGCGGCTTCAAATCAAGCAGGAGAAAGCTGGTAGGCCCACATGTGAGAGAATGGGTCTGTGTGGTCAGTGTGCACCATATAAAAAAAATCCTGCAGCACACAGTGCATAATGAGAAAAAAAAAAAAACTCCGACTATTTTTTTTTTAATTAAAATGCCGAATTTGTGGTCTATTTTTGTATAGTATTTATGGTTGTATTCTCGTTTTCTTGGTCTCATTTGATAGAATGAAAAACATATTATGGAATTAGAGGTGATTTTGATTGGTTTTACTATGAAAAGAACCTTGAAATGGAGCTCAAATTAGGGGAATTGTTTGATTTTTGCCAATGTTCAAAAGTAAACAAATGATATCATTTTCCAATAAATGTCCAACTAGCCATTCTAATATGCAGTCACGAATGGGTTGACATTATTTATACAATTATTACAATATTGCAGTAGTCTGCATAACAGTAAATGTTTTATTTTTTGTTTGAATAAAAATTCAAAATAGAAAGCAAGAGTAATACTAGAGGGACCTGGAGACGTGACTAATGAACAAAGAAAATGTTATTTTAGAGCCAGGAATGTCTGCATTGTTCATTCTGGACCCTATTTTGAAATTGTCATTTTTTAATTTTCATGAAATTGGCCAAATTGCAAATTTCTGACCACGTTATTGGGTAGTTGAAATCGGTAAATGGGCAGTTTCTTGTACTCAATCAATAGAAAGAATGGAGTTCTAAAGAAATAGCTATGAGTTTGGTGAACTGGAACAATGGAATTAGCCAAAAATAGGGTTCAAAGTATGCAAAATCGCCAATTCGTAAATATCGCCTGAGGTCACTAACTTTGCAAGAGCGTAATTCCGTCAGTTTTCCATCAAATTTCGTTCTTTTGGTGTCATTACAATTGGGAAAAGATTCTCTATCATTTCATAAGAAGAATTTTTTTTTTTTTTTTTTTGGGGGGGGGGGGGGGGGGGGGGAATTTGCGACACTAGGAGACACCTCAGGATTTGGGGTTGCGATAGTCAAGGGGTTAAAAGGTGATCCTGCCAAAGTGCTGGCCAGGAAGCCTGATTAAACATGTATCAGGTTATCTGTACAGTATTGATAAGAACATTGAGGTGATGATGATGAAGTAAAGGATACTTGCACATGCATTTGTAAAGCTTAAGCTAATATGCTAATTAAAAAATGAACTTGAAATAATGGATTCAAATTGGATAAGTTTAAATTTAGAAACAATAGAGGACATAGAGTAGTCATTGAGTGGAACAGTCTGCCTAGCAGGACCATTAAAGCTGGAACCTTGGGTAGTTTTAAATATAGGTTAGATAAATACATGATGGAGGGGGTAAAAAAGGTTTTGTGTGTATAGGTCTTGGACATACAGCAGGTGTGTGTAAGTGTGTTAGATAGGAGTGCTTGGAGACAAATAGTTTTTGGGACTTGACAAGCTCTTGGAGTGTGAGCAGGGTAATATTTTGTGAAAGGATTCAGGGAAACCGGTTAGCCGGACTTAGAGTCCTGGAGTTTGGGATTTTTGGTGTTTGGAGTGACACCTAAACTGTCATATCTGCATGCCTATGCAAAGACACTAATTAAGTGTGAATGATGGTGAAAGTGGTTTTTTTGGGGTCACCGTGCCTCAGTGAGAGACGACCAGCGTATTAAATTTTTTTTTTTTTTTTTTTTTTTATCACACCGGCCGATTCCCACCAAGGCAGGGTGGCCCGAAAAAAAAAACTTTCACCATCATTCACTCCATCACTGTCTTGCCAGAAGGGTGCTTTACACTACAGTTTTTAAACTGCAACATTAACACCCCTCCTTCAGAGTGCAGGCACTGTACTTCCCATCTCCAGGACTCAAGTCCGGCCTGCCGGTTTCCCTGAACCCCTTCATAAATGTTACTTTGCTCACACTCCAACAGCATGTCAAGTATTAAAAACCATTTGTCTCCATTCACTCCTATCAAACACGCTCACGCATGCCTGCTGGAAGTCCAAGCCCCTCGCACACAAAACCTCCTTTACCCCCTCCCTCCAACCTTTCCTAGGCCGCCCCCTACCCCGCCTTCCTTCCACTACAGACTGATACACTCTTGAAGTTATTCTGTTTCGCTCCATTCTCTCCACATGTCCGAACCACCTCAACAACCCTTCCTCAGCCCTCTGGACAACAGTTTTGGTAATCCCGCACCTCCTCCTAACTTCCAAACTACAAATTCTCTGCATTATATTCACACCACACATTGCTCTCAGACATGACATCTCCACTGCCTCCAGCCTTCTCCTCGCTGCAACATTCATCACCCATGCTTCACACCCATATAAGAGCGTTGGTAAAACTATACTCTCATACATTCCTCTCTTTGCCTCCAAGGACAAAGTTCTTTGTCTCCACAGACTCCTAAGTGCACCACTCACCCTTTTCCCCTCATCAATTCTATGATTCACCTCATCTTTCATAGACCCATCCGCTGACACGTCCACTCCCAGATATCTGAATACATTCACCTCCTCCATACTCTCTCCCTCCAATCTGATATCCAATCTTTCATCACCTAATCTTTTTGTTATCCTCATAACCTTACTCTTTCCTGTATTCACTTTCAATTTTCTTCTTTTGCACACCCTACCAAATTCATCCACCAATCTCTGCAACTTCTCTTCAGAATCTCCCAAGAGCACAGTGTCATCAGCAAAGAGCAGCTGTGACAACTCCCACTTTGTGTGTGATTCTTTATCTTTTAACTCCACGCCTCTTGTCAAGACCCTCGCATTTACTTCTCTTACAACCCCATCTATAAATATATTAAACAACCACGGTGACATCACACATCCTTGTCTAAGGCCTACTTTTACTGGGAAATAATTTCCCTCTTTCCTACATACTCTAACTTGAGCCTCACTTTCCTCGTAAAAACTCTTCACTGCTTTCAGTAACCTACCTCCTACACCATACACCTGCAACATCTTCCACATTGGCCCCTATCCACCCTGTCATACGCCTTTTCCAAATCCATAAATGCCACAAAGACCTCTTTAGCCTTATCTAAATACTGTTCACTTATGTGTTTCACTGTAAACACCTGGTCCACACACCCCCTACCTTTCCTAAAGCCTCCTTGTTCATCTGCTATCCTATTCTCCGTCTTACTCTTAATTCTTTCAATAATAACTCTACCATACACTTTACCAGGTATACTCAACAGACTTATCCCCCTATAATTTTTGCACTCTCTTTTATCCCCTTTGCCTTTATACAAAGGAACTATGCATGCTCTCTGCCAATCCCTAGGTACCTTACCCTCTTCCATACATTTATTAAATAATTGCACCAACCACTCCAAAACTACATCCCCACCTGCTTTTAACATTTCTATCTTTATCCCATCAATCCCGCTGCCTTACCCCCTTTCATTTTACCTACTGCCTCACGAACTTCCCCCACACTCACAACTGGCTCTTCCTCACTCCTACAAGATGTTGTTCCTCCTTGCCCTATACACGAAATCACAGCTTCCCTATCTTCATCAACATTTAACAATTCCTCAAAATATTCCCTCCATCTTCCCAATACCTCTAACTCTCCATTTAATAACTCTCCTCTCCTATTTTTAACTGACAAATCCATTTGTTCTCTAGGCTTTCTTAACTTGTTAATCTCACTCCAAAACTTTTTCTTATTTTCAACAAAATTTGTTGATAACATCTCACCCACTCTCTCATTGCTCTCTTTTTACACTGCTTCACCACTCTCTTAACCTCTCTCTTTTTCTCCATATACTCTTCCCTCCTTGCATCACTTCTACTTTCTAAAAACTTCTCATAAGCTAACTTTTTCTCCCTTACTACTCTCTTCACATCATCATTCCACCAATCGCTCCTCTTCCCTCCCGCACCCACTTTCCTGTAACCACAAACTTCTGCTGAACACTCTAACACTACATTTTTAAACCTACCCCATACTTCGTCGACCCCATTGCCTATGCTCTCATTAGGCCATCTATCCTCCAATAGCTGTTTATATCTTACCCTAACTGCCTCCTCTTTTAGTTTATAAACCTTCACCTCTCTCTTCCCTGATGCTTCTATTCTCCTTGTATCCCATCTACCTTTTACTCTCAGTGTAGCTACAACTAGAAAGTGATCTGATATATCTGTGGCCCCTCTATAAACATGTACATCCTGAAGTCTACTCAACAGTCTTTTATCTACCAATACATAATCCAACAAGCTACTGTCATTTCGCCCTACATCATATCTTGTATACTTATTTATCCTCTTTTTCTTAAAATATGTACGTATATATACGTATATATACGTATATATGAGTATATATGAGTGAGAGGGGTTGAATTTGAGTGGGATTTCCACTTGAGTTAATATGGTGATCAAAGCTTATTCCTTGGATGGCAATGAAAATAGGTTGGGCAAATATTTTTCTTAGTGGGTTTTGGGTTTGAGAAGGACCTGTCTAATATGGGCCAGTAAGCCTGCTGCAGTGTTTCTCCCTTTTTATGTTCCTAATTAGATATAGTACTCACATAACTAACCATGCACAATTCATTGCCAATAAGCTTTTACAGAATGTTCCTACTCATTTCTGTAGGCATTTTTGTAATAAACTGTTTATTCAGTACCTATTGATATTTCAGGTGAACACCAGCTGTGTAAAGACTATGAAGTGCGAGTACTATGCCAGTGTGAATGTCAAGATGGTTTGGGGATGGAAGACTTAAGCATCACTGACAATCAGATAACTGCTTCATCTTTTATGACTCCTGATGACCAGCCATATAAGGCCCGCCTCAACTCTGACTGGGCTTGGACTGCAAAAGCTGGAAAATCTGAATGGTTACAGGTACTTGACTCCTATTATATTAAATAAAATAATCTGACTCCATGATAGTTAAATAACAGAACTATTCTAGAAAATGGCCAACCACTTTCCCAGTTTGTGATGTGGTGTTATGTTACCTTTTTATATGTATGGTGTGAGTGATGAAGGAGGAACACAACAATATATTTACACTTGATAATGAATTGAGATGAGACTATAAACTTAAAATGTCAAAGTTCTAATGCAAAGAATAAAAGTCACAATGCAGGCAGGCCCTGCCTTGCTGTAGGTTAGGTTCAGGCTACTGCTGTAAAGTGAATCATAGCCCTTTTTTTTTTTTCACTTCAACTGCATATAAATGCCTGATAATATTATAAACTATCATAAATTAAGTGAGCAATATAGCTAGGCCTAAAAAATGCACATACAGTACACACATTACTTCCCTTAAAATATTTTCATCCTTAGCTTATAGTGAGTGGTGAATATATTTATTGTAGGAAGTATGAATAAATGGAGAATGGGTATAATTGAAAACTACTGTATTAGCAAAACACTAAAGTGAAGCATTGTAAAGCTGGGCCTGCCTGTACAGTGGCTAGAGCAATTAATTATAATCCACAATTTTTAAAAATTAAAAATTATTTATTTCAAATGAGCAATGAAAGTCCAGTAGTTTTACATACAAAATTATTACATATTGTGATTGGTTATAATATAGCATATAGTATAGTAAGTTACTAAATTCTGTTAAGTGTTTTTGAGGATAGTGAGACTCAGGTTAGGATGTGTAGGAGAGATAGAGAGGTTACTCTCCAGTAATAGTAGGTCTTAGACAAGGATGCATGATGTCAACATAGTTGTTTAACATGTTTGTAGATGGAATTGTAAATGCTAAATAAATTGTAAATTGTAATTGTAAATGATAAGTAAATGCTAAGATGTTGGGAAGAAGTGTGGGATTTAAATATGTGGAATCTAATACAATATGGGAATTGGCACATTTGCTTTTTACTGATGATACTGTTCTTTTGGGAGATTCTGAAGAGAAGTTACAGACGTTAGTGGATGAGTTTTGGAGGGTAAGAGAAGGAAGTTGAAAGTGAACATAGATAAGAGTAAGGTGATGAGGGTATCAAACGATAGGTAAGGAAAGATTAGATATCAGATTGGAGGGAGGGAGTATGGAGGAAGTGAATGTGTTCAGATATTTGGGAGTGGACATGTCGGCAGATGGGTACATGAAAGACAAGGTAAACCATAGAATTCATGAAGGTTGGTTGATAGCACACTCATCTAGCACATTGAGGTCTGTGGTTTGATCCCTGGTACGGGTGGAATGTTTCCTTAAGACACCTGTTGCTGTTCACCTAGCAGTAAGTAGGTACATGAGTGTCAGCCGCTGGTGTGGGTCATATCCCAGAGACAAAATAAACGTAAGTTACCCAAAATCCTCTGCATAACCAGGGGTTTTCTATATAGTATGTCACTGATGTCAGCTAGGTCTTTTTAAGTTGTTTCATGTACTTAGAGAAATAAAGATTATTCTTCTTTCAACACACCGGCCATATCCCACTGAGGTGGGGTGGCCCAGAAGAAAAAACGAAAGTTTCTCCTTTTAAATTTAGTAATATATACAGGAGAAGGGGTTACTAACCCCTTGCTTCTGGCATTTTAGTTGCCTCTTACAACACGCATGGCTTGTGGAGGAAGAATTCTGTTCCACTTCCCCATGGAGAATAAAGGTTATTATTATGATTGTTATTATTTTATTATTAATGAGGTATCTGTGGAGACAGAACATTATCCATGGAGGCAAAGAGGGAAATGTATGTGTATAGTGGTACCAGCACTTTTATAGGTGTGAAGCATGGGTTGTGAATGTTGCAGCAAGGACAGTGCTGCAGGCAGTGGAGATATGGTGTCTGAGGGCAACATGTGACATAAATATTATGCAGAGAATTTGTGTTTTGGAGAGTAGGAGAAGGTGCAGAGTTATGAAATGTATTATCCAGAGGGCTGAGGAGGGGTTGTTTGGTTATTTAGAGAGGATGAAGCAAAATAGGATGACTTGGAGGGTGTATAAATCTGTAGTAGAGGGAGGGTGGGGTAGGGGTCATCCTAGGATGGAGGGAAGAGGGTAAAGGAGGTTTTGTGTGCTAGGGGCTTGGACATACAGCAGGCATGTGTGAGCATGATAGATAGGGGTGAGTGGAGAGAAATGATTTTTGGGACTTGATGAGCTGTTGGAGTGTAATCAAGGTAATATTTTGTGAAGAAATTCAGGAAACCAGTTAGCCTGACTTGAGTCCTGGAGATGGGAAGTATGGTGCCTCCACTCTAAAGGAGGGATTTAGGGTATTTTCTGTTTAGAGGGACATCTAAACTGCAGTATCTACACACCTCTGGCAAGACATTCATAGTGTGAATGATGGTGAATTTTTTTATTTTTTGGGTCATCTTACCTTGGTAGGAGACAACCAGTGTGTTAAAGAAATGTGCTTTGTTTCCAACTTTAGTTTTTTAGTAGCATGATGATAGAGGTATCTTGGGTTGACATAGTTGGGTAGGGGTAGAGTGAACTAGGATGGCTATCAGTGATGTAATTCCTTACTTGGGCAGGAGAGTTTGAGGTTTTGCTGGCTAGATTTGTTCCTGTTATTGAAAAGAAGTCATTTAATTTATTTAGTCTCAGAATCTTGTAGGTTCATTAGGTTTAGTTAGAACTATTTCTTTGGATTCAGTGACTTGACTAGTGTCCTGTATCTGAGTGTTTTCCAAGCAATTATTTATATACTTTAATACAATTAAACCTGCTCACATATTATATATGTTTTGATTTCTTTATGAGCTTTGGAGAGAAATCTTTTTGATAGTGCTTCAGTCCATCCTGGATCATTGTCAAGTCACAACTGTTCTCACCTACCTCACTTATTTAATATCACTGAACAGGTGGATTTAGGGAAGGTGAAGCAAGTAACCGGTGTTGTGACTCAAGGACATCCTTACCTGGAGCAGTTTGTGACAAACTTTGTTGTGCATTTCTCTGAGACAGGAGCAATCTGGGATGAAGTTATGGACAAAGATTCCCAGTTTATTAAGGTAAGTACATAAAGTGAAATTATTTAAGGTAATCATTTATGATTAGGTGAAATATTGTTTATTATATGAAAAAGCTACTGATGTGATAAATAGTTGATATTGTTATTACAAAAATCTAAAATAATTATATTTATGTATTATAAAAGAAGATAAATAAATTGGCAATGTACGTATATCTGAAAAATAACAGCTAAGGGAAATGTATAATAATAGTTATATGTCTGCAGGAGTTCACTGGCAACAGTGACAGGTCTACGCCCGTGACAAACTTATTCCCAGAGCCACTGTTTGCTCGCTTTATCAGAATTATTCCTACAAATTTCTACTCTGCCCTCTCACTTAGGCTTGAGATTAAGGGATGTGACATTACAGGTGAGCTCAGTATTTAGTTTATTTTTGTCTAATTGTGTGGCTGGGAAGTCATAGTTTGGTATTTATGTTAAAATGGAATTATATTGTATGTATTAAGTTGGGTATATCTATTAATATTTTAAAGTGTACAGCATGAAAAAAAAGATGAGCTAGGCCAATATGATGGATGAGTGCCATAGAGGATTGTGGCAGAAGAATGACTAGATTATATACAAAGGAATAATTTTGTGGCAGTTGAAGTATGGGAAAATTGAAGCATAGGCCATACATTGTAATCACCCTAATGAGGATGTACAGTAATGTAACGATGTAGTATTAGAGAATTGTAGAAGAACATGTTCACTCCACCAACATCCTGACTGGTAAGAAACTGAACCACGATTAATGGACTGAAAATTTAGCCTCCACCACTCTTTGTACTGAACGACCCATACCATTTTAGTGCTTCGTGGAATACATTAGAATGTTCACTCCAACGTATTTTATGATCGGATGTCATTTGTGTAATCTACTTCAGTTAATTTTTTTTTTTTCAACACTTCAACCATCTCCCACCGAGGCACGGTGACCCAAGAAAGAAAGAAACACTTTCACCATCTTTCACACATAATCACTGTTTTTGCAGAGGTGCCCATATATGACACAGTTTAGATGTCACTCCAATTGGCCAATATCCCAAACCCCTCCTTTAAAATGTGTGCATTAATAATTAAAATATAATTAATAGAGTAATGCAAAAGCAATTCAGAGCCAATGCAAAATTTTATAATACATTAAAAATGCTAATACAGTAGTATCATCCTGGTTAAAAGTACCACTTAATATGTAAATAACAGAGTAACACGTAGGTTTTTTAAAAAACTGCGTGACACTACTTGCAGTATAGTGAAATAATTTAGTTTATCCAGGTGTATAACTTCAGGCAGTATGGTTAGTAAGTAAGTTTATTTAGGTACATTGCACATGAGTACAGTTAATAATAATAATATTAATCTTTCTTTCTACAAGTACATGTACAATGTATACATTTTTTTTTAACACATCGGCCATCTCCCACTGAGGCAGGGTGACCCAAAAAGAAAGAAAATCTCCAAAAAGAAAGAAAATACTTTCATCACCATTCAACACTTTGACCTCACTCATACATAATCACTGTCTTTGCAGAGGCGCTCAGATACAACAGTTTAGAAGTCTCTCCAAATTGCCACTATCCCAAACCCCTCCTTTAAAGTGCAGGCATTGTACTTCCCATTTTCAGGGCTCAAGTCTGGCTAACCGGTTTCCCTGAATCCCTTCACAAAATATTAATCTGCTAACACTCCAGCAGCTCGTTAGGTCCCAAAAACCGTTCATCTCCATTCACTCCTATCTAACACACTCATGCATGCTTGCTGGAAGTCCAAGCCCCTCACCCACAAAACCACCTTTACCCCCTCCCTCCAGCCTCTTCAAGGATGACCTCTACCCCGCCTTCCTTTCCCTACAGATTTATATGCTCTCTGAGTCATTCTAGTTTGTTCCATTCTCTCTAAATGACCAAACCACCTCAACAGCCTCTCTTCAGCCCTCTGCCTAATATTTTAGTAACTCCAGACCTCCTAATTTCCACACTCTGAATTTTCTGCATAATGTTTACACCACACACATTGCCCTTAACCCTTTGGGGGTTTCGGACGTACTAGTACGTCTTACGACCCAGGGTTTTTGACGTACTAGTACGCCTAAATTCTAGCGCCCTCAAATCTAGTGAGAGAAAGCTGGTACACCTACATATGTAAGAATAGGTCTATGTGGTCAGTGTGCGCAATATAAAAAAAATCCTGCAGCACACAGTGCGTAATGAGAAAAAAAAACTTTGACCGTGTGTTTGGATTAAAGCAGGGACTTTGCACTGTATTTTCGTATGGTATTTATTGTTGTATTCTAGCTTTCTTCATCTCATTTTATAGAATGGAAGACATATTACGGAAATTGAGATGATTTTCACTGGTTTTACAATGAAAAGTACCTTGAAATTGAGCTCAAAGTAGCAGAAATGTTCGATTTTTACCAAAGTTCAAAAGTAAACAAATCATGCCAAGCATCCAATACACATCAGCTGGTGAGGTGAGTCTAATATTCTTTCACAAGTGCGTTGATATTATTTATACCATTTCTACACTAATACAGTAGTCTGCATAACAGTAAATCTTCTATTTTTTGTGAGAATAAAAATTCAAAGTGGAAATCCAAAGAAATATAAGAAGGGCCTGGAGATGTGACTAACGAACAGAGAACTTGTTATTTTAGTGCCAGGAATGTCTTTCTTGTTTATTCTGAACCCTATTCGGAAATTGGCATCTTTTGAAATTTGTGTGAAATTGGCAAAATTGCTAAATTCTGACCACTTTATTGGATAGTTGAAATCAGTAAATGGGTGGTTTCTTGTACTCATTCGATAGAAAAAAATGGAGTTCTAGCAAAATAGTTATGATTTTTGTCGACTAGTACACTGGAATTGGCCAAAAATAGGGCCCAAAGTGGGCAAAATCGCCAATGCGTAAACATCGTCAAGAGCACTAACTTCGCGAGAGCATAATTCCCTAATTTCATACTTTTGGTGTCATTATGATCGGGAAAAAGATTCTCTATCTTTTCATAAGAAAAAAATAATAATTTTTTTTTTTTTGAAATTTGGCCGACCCTGAGAACAAGTCTCTGAGAGGACCTGTCGACCCCCAAAGGGTTAAACAGGACATAGTGTAAATTACCTCGGGTAACCCAAGAAAGTCTCAAAGTGACTTGTTTTCATTGGGGTTCTTGAGGTTATTATTGTTATTCCAAAAGTCTTGAATAATAATTGTTATCTAATTACAATAATGCATCAGATAATGAATCTGTTTTATAAAGTAATTAGAGTAATAGGTTTGTTTTAATGTGTTTTCTTAACAAGATTTTATTCTACTTTCCAGAAGTGACAACACCACTGATTCCAGGTAAAATCATCAGTATAATAGTTACCTATTAACAGTTACTGTAGAGTACACATACACACACACACACACACACACACACACACACACACACACACACACACACACACACACACACATACATACACACACATACACACACACACACACACACACACACACACACACACACACACACACACACACACAACACACACACCTTGGGGTGACCATAACACCGAGTACATCACCGGAGGCACACATCAACCAAATAACCGCTGCAGCATACGGGCGCCTGGCAAACCTGAGAATAGCGTTCCGATACCTCAATAAGGAATCGTTCAAGACACTGTACACTGTGTATGTTAGGCCCATACTGGAGTATGCAGCACCAGTCTGGAACCCACACCTGGTCAAGCACGTCAAGAAGTTAGAGAAAGTACAAAGGTTTGCAACAAGGCTAGTCCCAGAGCTCAAGGGAATGTCGTACGAGGAAAGGTTAAGGGAAATCGACTGACGACACTGGAGGACAGAAGGGTCAGGGGAGACATGATAACGACATACAAGATACTGCGGGGAATAGATAAGGTGGACAGAGATAGGATGTTCCAGAGAGGGGACACAGGGACAAGGGTCACAACTGAAGCTGAAGACTCAGACGAGTCACAGGGACGTTAGGAAGTATTTCTTCAGTCATAGAGTTGTCAGCAAGTGGAATAGCCTAGCAAGTGAAGTAGTGGAGGCAGGAACCATACATAGTTTTAAGAAGAGGTATGACAAAGCTCAGGAAGCAGAGAGAGAGAGGACCCAGTAGCGATCAGTGAAGAGGCGGGGCCAGGAGCTGAGTCTCGACCCCTGCAACCACAATTAGGTGAGTACAATTAGGTGAGTACACACACATACACACACACACACATACACACACACACACATACACATACACACACACACACACACACACACACACACACACACACACACACACACACACACACACACACACACACAACCAGTGTTAGTGACAACGTCAGTGAACAACCCTACAAGTGATAACCAATGTATTAGAAAAAATAAATAAAGTAAAGGCGAGAGAAAGCCTGAAATTATACAACAGAATTTCAAAGTGCCAGTTCGTTGAGGCCTAGTTGGCACCTGTTGCCACATTGTTACACATATACAAAGTACAAAGCGAGTGACTAAAGAGAAAAGACTAAATAGAATTAAGAGAGGGTGGTAACGACAAAATGTGATGTAGCACACAGCGTGAACAAGCTAGCCAGAAAGGGGATATATATATGTATACATAAATATATATAAGCAGAGGTGGTGGCAGCAGTAGGCCTGAGGGAGTAGCGCCGCCATAACAGGTTGGGTGTCATCACAAATAAGTAGTGTACTTACCAAAGGTGAAGTGTAAATTATAAAAGTAGCAGTATACAAGTGATAAGTGTGGTAAATGAGGACTCAAAAGGGCAAGAGAAAAGTATAGCCGAAGAAGTCAGCGGCGGAAGGGCGAGGTGTACGAGTCATCATACAGAGAGCATCGTACAGCAAGCATCGTACATCAGGCATCTGGAAGGACGTCCCCTCTGAGTAATGTACAAATCACTTGTTTGTGGTGGCGGGAAGTCTGAGGGTAGAGCCGGCCCTGCGGACGCTGGTAGCTCGCTATCTAAACCCTGCTCCAGAGCGATTATCATACACACAACACCTAGCAGTAGTAGGAAGATAAAATTTGTAGGAGCAAGGACTAATGGGACTACAGCCCTGACAACAGTTTCGAGAGATTATGTTTTAGGACACAAAGAGCAGCTGCTCGCGAGCTCCTCTCTCTGCTCTCTCTCTCTCTCCTACGCTCGTCTCACGCTCTATCACTCACTCTCACTTCTCTGTCTATTCACCTCTCTCTCACTCTCTCTCACTCTCTCTCACTCTCTCTCACTCTCTTCACTCTCACTCACTCTCACTCACTCTCTCTCACTCTCACTCACTCTCACTCCTCTCACTCAATCTCACCCTCACTCACTCTCACTCACTCTCACTCATCTC